TGTTACCACTCCAGATGCGACCAGGTGTGCCTCCCGGACTGGGCTTACCACACGCGTCCCATCGTCCTGCAAGGTCCCCGATGCACGCCCTGCGCCCCAACAGAGTCAGCGGCAGCCCATAGCTGCCACGGGGCACAGCAAGTCAAGGGCACAGATCCAGAGGCCAGAACGTGATGACGCATGTGAGACCCCGAGGGGAAGCAGGGCTAGCGGTCGCATCTGTCAATGGCCCTGGCACCAGTGAGGTGGAAGATGAGACAGCCAGACCGCCTCGGGCACCACGCCTGCTGCCCGACAGGGACCACAGCCTGCGCAGATGTGTGCCGGCCAGCTCACGCTCCAGCTCCAAGCACAGAAGGTGCTTCCAAAAATCACTGCTGACAGGATACCATGGACATCCCCGAGGTGGCCTTCCGGCAATGTGCACCCACGGCTGGACTCTGTCGGCAAGAACCCCGCAGCAGAGCGAGGCCTGATGGAAGGAAGGGCAGGACTCCCACATGGGGACAGGGACACCGGGGAGGGTGCACGAGTTCTCAACACACCAGGCTCGCACAAGTGGCCCACCCCCACGTGCTGGAAGACAGATGATGCCACACACACACATGAACACACACACACACACACAGGCCATGGCAAACTGTGGGTGAAAGCTTGAAAAGGCTCAGAGGTGGGCCCACTGCACGGGGTCCCCCGGGTAAGACAGGGAACCCCATGCCGCCGCTCCCCTTGCTCCCTGGGGGCCGGGAAGACACCCCACTCCGAAGGCCCAGGAGCTCCGAGAAGCAGCTGACGGCAGGAGATGCTCGCAGAACTGGGCACCCCGGAGCCCGGGGACAACAGGGCCCCAGGGAGCAGCGCTGGGCAGCGGCGCCAGCTGCAGAAGCCGCAGGAGAGGCAACGGAGTGGCCGTGGGGTGTGGCCTGCAGGGGCCCTGGGGCCAGATCCCACAGCACGGGAGCCCGGGGCACCGCCTACTGCACACACACAAGGATGTCACCGAGTGCGCGGCTCGGGCACAAGGGACGGATCCCTGACGGGTTCCAGCCCCAGACACGTGGCTAAAGCAAGGCGGAGCCCTGGAGAAGGCCCCCTTGGCGCCCCGGCAGGTGCGCTGCAGAGACGCCCCGGCGGCCCCAGAGAAATGGCTCTCCCTGGAGCACCTGCGCTCTGGGGACCAGGACACCCTTCACAGACCTGGAGACGAAGCCAGCACCCCGGGACCCGGACGGCCCACAGTGCATCTTCACATCCAGACCCACGTCCCCCGTGGAGCAGGAGCAGGCGGACCCAGCAGCCTCCAGGACGCGGGAGCTACTCATCTCGCCGCGGCCCCTGCCCCGGCTCCGAAGCAAGAACGGGGTCACTGCCAGCGCCCAAGGCAGCGTGGCGAGCTGCCCTCCGAGACTTCCGTGGCATGGGGACAGCGGGCTCCACCTCACGCCCTGCCTGGCTCTGCAGAACTGGTAGGTCGTGGCCGTGGCCCGCACGAGGGAGCTGGACGGATTCTTTGAGAGAGAGTGAGCGCACGGGACACACACATTCCTCTCCAAAGCCGCCAGGAGCCATTCCCGTTCACCCCCGGGATGGAGCAGAGCCCAGTCCCGGTCCCACCCCGAGCCGCAGGACCCCAGCAGAGACGCACGGGCCCCACCGTAGCTAAGCCTACACACAGCTGAGCGCAGGCGGAGGCCAAGCTGGGCTCACCCAGCGGGGGACAGGCCTAAGCACACAGTCCCTGTCCCAGGGCTGGCTCCGCGGCCCCCGCATGGCGCCGTCCCGCAAGGGGGCCAACCAGGGTCCGGGTGGCTGGTCAGCCCCGCGGGGGCAACGCTCTTCCATGGTGAGGACAGACGCATACCCCAGCCGCGGGTCCGGCTGTCCCTCCGCCCATGTGGTCCGGCTGCAGTCCGTCCCCAGTGAGTTTCCGTGCACTCGGGTGTGGAGCGTGGGCGGAGGCTCACACTGTCTCTGGGGGTGACCAGCAGCTCCGGCAAAACCATCTCAGCAGTACTGCTCCTTCCGCGTTCCCACACACATTTTGGAGTCATCTCCGCATCCACGAAAAGCTTGCTGGGATTTCAGTCAGAACTGTGTCAAGCGCTGCACGGCTCTGGGGACACATGCCACGCTGACCGGGTTGAGTCCCCCACCCGCAGATGTGGCAGGCTCCCAACAGGCAGATCTGTGCTTCCCTGCACCCCTACTGTGCGCTCAGGAAACCCCATCCACGTCCGGGTCCAGCTGTACCTGTCTGTCTGTCTGTCTCTGAAGTGCCTGTAAACGCTACTGCACGTTCAAGTTTGGGCTCACTTTGGACATGTAATGTGGCGCATACACACATCCTGTTCTTCTGAGTTTTTCACCATGGATGGGAGTCAGATGTGTTTCCTGTGTCAACCGATAGGGTCCAGGACATTTCTACCTTGGCCTGTCGATGTGATGGATCCCGAGCCAGCCCTGCACCCCTTCAGAGCAAGGTCGCCCCTTCTCTCTCCGGGAGAGACTGGCACTGGCGTCCGTTGCCTGAACACGTGAGGACATCCTCCAGTGAGAACAGGCGGGCCTGGAGACCTTCCGACGGCAGATTCCAGACGACAGCCTGAGGGTCCCGGTCAGTCGCAGAGCGGTCCAAGGCTGCCGCGCGAGCCCGCAGGACGTGGCAGGGGGCGCTCCTCGGGAGCCGGTGCGTGTGCCGGCCGACCCCGCGGCTGCTGGCACCCCGATCTCCCAGTGGAGAAACTGCTCCCCTCTCCACTCTCTAGACCTGCTGGCTCTGCTCTTGACAAGTTTCACGGGGACGCGCCGGCGTGCACGGCTCTGGGTTCACCCTGCTCGCAACGCACTCCGCTTCTTAAATCTCTAAGTTTGTCTTTTGCCAAACGAATGACATTTCGGACACGACTCCCCAGAACACTTTCTCAGCCCCTCCGGCCAGGACTCCGACGACACACACACTGGAGAACGTGCTCCGGTCCCACAGCTTCCGCCAAGGTGGCCCCTCTGTCCTTCGGGGCACGGCAGGCTTTCTGGCTCCCCGGGGCCCCACGGACACCCCGGTCCCACCCATGGTGAGGACAGACGCATACCCCAGCCGCGGGTCCGGCTGTCCCTCCGCCCATGTGGTCCGGCTGCAGTCCGGACGTTACACCCCTCTGCTGCTCTTTGGTCCCAACGGAGCGGCTTTCGGTGGGGTCTGGCCGCACCTGTCTGTGTTTCTGGGTTGCCAGCCTCTTCGACTCCACACCTGGGACACATGAGGACAAAGAGAAGCTGGAGGCCTCCCCTGGGGCCTGACCTGGGGCCCCCAGGTCCCTGTGGGGCTGCTTGTGTCCACCTCGCAGAGGAGCCGACAGTCACCGCACGCAGCATCCAGGACTGTCGTTGTGCAAAGTGAGAAGCCCAGGGAGAGGCATGTGCACCGCGCCTTCTGGAAGCAGAAATCCCCAACTTTTCTCTTTCAGGGTTTAATAGGGGCGACCTTTCCCCACACCTGCGCTGTCCTCACATATGGCTCTGACTCTTCCCAGGTCTTCCCCAGCCTCTCCCCACACATAAAAAACATCCTGTTGCCTCTCCCGGAGGCACTCAGGCTCGGCCCTCAGAGTCTTGCCGGGGCCTGGACTCTTGCGCTGTACCAAGAACCCCCCCCCGGCTCCTTTCTGGGGGGAGCCCTGGGCTCTGGACCTGCGTCTCCGCCTTCACGGTGTGTCCCGCGCTGTGAGGCAGCAGGTCCTCCCATGTCTCCCTCAGAACTGGGCCCGCCTGGTCACCGTGGCGGGACGCCTTCGTCCTGTGAGGTCGCACTGGCCCACTCTGTGACAGGTCCCGCGTCTCCGCGAGGGCACCACCTCTCCTCCTGCTGGGCCCCCCTCGTGGGCCCTCCATCTCCATCTGCTCTTCCGTCTCCCGCTGACTGATTTCCTCTCTTCACCTTCTGGCCACTCCTCTGGGCGCCTTTCCGGACTCTGCTTCGAGTCCTCTAGTGAACGTGTTAAGACACACATGGACGTACCTCTCATTCCAAAAGCTCCTGTCCGCCCCTCTTTATTCAGAAGGGAAGCCTGGAACTTCTGAGATCACCGTGTTTGCTCTCACCTCTCCGAGGACGTTACACTGACCCCCAGTTTCCCATATGGCTGTGGCCAGGCCCACATCTCTGTCCCGTGCTTGCCGCAGGCTCTATCTCCTTGAATGTGTGCGAAACCACACTGGCCCCGACGGAAGCCACGCGCACGGGCACGGTCGCCGGCTGTGCTCAGCCTCGCGGGCGGTAACCCCAGCTCCCCCGCACCGAGAGCACTCCGGGACCCCCGTGTGGACAGGCCTGCACAGGCGTTCGGGAAGCGCGGCAGGGAGGGGGCAGGGGACTCCCACTCCGCACCCAGGCTAGCTTCGCGTCTTCACTTGGGGTCGTTCCAGCCCTCCTCTGTGCCAAGTGTCCCCACAGCTGAGCCTCCCCAGTCCTGTCTCTGCTGGGGACACCACCCACCTCCCCTGTCACCTGATGGCCAGGCAGGAGCAGAAGCCCCTTCGATGACACCACCGCCCCACAGCTTCCCCGACTAGGGCTCAGACTGGACAGCTCCACATCCCGAGGGGACTCGAAGCGGACTGGCTCCATGCAATCCGCAGCCCCACCCTCCCAGGCGCCCTCTCCAAGCGCAGGCGCCCCACTCCCGGCGGAGCCCCCTCTACCACCCTGACCTCGAGGCCGCGGCCCCTCTCCCCAGTTCACTCGCACTCAGCGTGTTTGGGGGCCTGGCGCGCCACGCTTCTCCGCAGGTGCCTGCACACAGGACTGGACAGGGTTTGGGGACTCTCGGCCGTGACCACACACGCGGCACACACACACCCGCCCTGGAGAGAAAGGAGGTGGCTGCCCCTGTAGAAAGAGCCGGAAATGGGGCCAGCAGACTGGAACATGGAGCGTGGGCACAGTCACATGCCACAGCAGCGCCGGCGGGACGGCGGGGGGCGCACCCCGCAGCCGGACTCACCTTCACCTCCTTCTCGATGTAGTCGCTCAGCAGCCTGTCGGGCTCCACGCGCTCGGGCAGGGACAGCGCCACAGTGTGCAGAGGGCGCCGCTCTGTCACCTTCTCATGGGCTTTCTTATCTCTACTCTTTTCACCTTTCAGGAATACTCGTTTAAACGGCGACACAATTCCAGGCTGCAGACAGAAACGGCAAGGGTTGGAGGTTGTTATTCGTGAAGGCTTCGCACAGCCCCCACGGCGCACACGCCAACGTGGCCAAGCCACCACCACGGTCCCCATGCGAAGGGGCTGCCCGTGCGGCCCGGGGAGGACGGTACCGAGAATGCCAGCCAGGGTCGGGATGGCGGGGGCTGGGGCCGCCCCGGGCACACGGAGTGGGGGGTCCGTCCTCCACCAGCTCTCGGACACTCGGAAAGGTGAGGGCACGCTCTCTGGGCAAGTAATCTCGTGGCCCAGTAAAGGGCAGGAAGGGGGAGGATCCCCCCAGAGGACAGCAACGTAGTGTCACCCGAGCCCCTGGCTCCAGTGGGTCCCTTCACTCCAGGACCCCAGAGCAGGCACCGCGGCCTCAGCAAATGACACACTTCCGCACCCAAAAGCCCACCTGCTCCCTGTGCCATATCTGCGCTCCGCATGCCCTTCCCACCGCCAGGGCCTCGCTGCCCCAGGGTGCTGACTGCACTGCGCAACCCGCACCACGGAGGCTAACCTCCCACCCAAGGAAACCTACGCAGCGTGAGCGGGGGGCCTGGCCTACTCGCCTCTCCAGCCGCTTACACTGCCTGTTCTCCACCTCAGCAAGGTTTTCACGCGAGGACGAGGCCGCTCCGGCCAGCAGCTGCTCACGCATCAGCTAAGACAGGACGCCCAGGGCCTCATAGGCACACGGACGGGCTGCAGAAGGGACGGAGCATCTGCGAGGAGCCGGCGCGCCCCAGGGCCTCTCCAGGCCCCATTCTCCTCAGCCCCTAGAGTTTCAGCCCGCACAATCTCGGGGCACGGCCAAGGGTGGGGAGAGTGGGCGTGCCGCATGGGAGCAGGTAGGCCCTTGGGCAGCGCACACAGGGAGGGGCGGGGCACGCCCGGCCACAATGGGCTGAACAGCTACAGTAAATTTTAAGTTGAAAATGACCCTGGAAACAAGAAAAGCGAACACCACGTTCCACCAGTCCTACCCCAGGCTGGCAGGCCACACCACACGGGGGCTGCCCCTCTGGCCCGCACCCCGGCCAGCAGGGCTTCCGGACCCCCGGCTTCTGTGTGCAGAGCACTTCCCAGCTCCTGAGACAGGTGCACGCCGCAGGCGGAGAAACGACGGCGGGCACGCGCACACCTTACCCTGTCGAAATGTACGAGCCTCACAGACACGGACACCCGCGCCTATGCCCTCTCTCTCCCTGGCCACCCCACAAAGCTCCCCCTCCTGGACCGCGACCCGCCAGGCACAGGCTGAGGCTGAGTGTGACCAGCAGCACACACAACGGCTCACACGCGCTCTCCCACCTCGTTACTCCCTTGCTCCTGGGAGTACCGGGAAATCAACTCTGAGAGGACAGGTTTGCCACGGTCAGCCTCTCACCGCAAGGCCCACGCCAAATCACCACGGCCACAGACCACATGCGCTGCGGGTGAGGCACAGCTCACGGAATGGCAGTCTACACGCACAGTCCGTTGGCACCGGGAGGATCCGGGGCCTTAGCCCTGCAGCCGGCCGGGTCCGCGGCACATGCGCGGCCCCCGCTGTGACAAAACCCAGACCGACCACTCTAGAGGCCTCCGACTGGCCCAGGGCCCCTGCTCACGAGGCAGAGCCTGACCCGTCCTCCTGTGCCGCCACCCCTTGGGACCCCACAGGGGACCCCCGGCACTGGTGCTGGTCAGTGGGCGTTCGGTGCCCGCGCTGGCCAGGCATGGGGAAGGCCCAGTCGGGGAATGAAACGGCTCCTACCTCAAAAGAGCACAGTCAGGCCGGAGGAGGAGCCCAAAGCCGGGGAACAGGCACTAAATCCACGGTGAAAACCCCTGGGCTGCCGCCTCGAAGGTGTGCTCAGTGCCAGTTGCTCTGCCTTTAAAGGTGCCCCCGCCCCGGCCACAAGGCACAAGCCCTTGAGGCACGGGGGCGCCTGACGGGGGAGCGCGACCCCGAGCACGACCCCGTGGGAGCGGCTGGGAGTGCCCAGCTTCCAGCCTCCGCCCTGAACGGCCGCACCGCAGGCTTCCGGCTGCTGCTGTGAACATCTCCAGCAACTTTCCGTGGTGCGTGAGCTTTCCCTGACGGAGGAAGGCTGAAACCACTGGGTGGAGACACGGATCGTGGCCAACCTGACCCTTCCCGTGGCCACCTGAGCCCGCGTCAGTGGCGGGTTCCCTGCCGGCGTCAGGCAGCGCCCTCCCCCACCCCCGCCTCTCCAGAAACACTGCGACCAGGTGGGCACTCCGGGTTTGGGAACGGAGGCTGCTCTGAACACGAAAATGTAAAGTGACGTTCTGGTTAAGGAAACACAGGGGCAGGCAACTCAGAATATCCTGACACAGAAGCAGGGTTCCCGGACACAATCATAGATCCTTTAATTTCTGGAATATTCTCCAGATCAAGATGTCAAGTTTTTTTTAAAAGCACGTCTGACAGTGCCCGTGTGCCTTCCTTACTCCACAGGAATTTTTACTGAGTGCTGGCGCTCACCATCCTCACCGAAAGGATCTCACAATCCCTGACCCTACAAGACAAGGACCAACTCAGCCCCCAGAAGGAGCACAACAGTGATGATGTCCCTTCAATAATGGAGCCCCGCACTGGGTGCGGCCTGGGGTCCACCTGAGCCTGAATCTTCTGTGAAGATATGGAGCCCTGAGGGTCCAGGGCAGGGACATGGGGCTTCTGCGGCACACAGAACACGCCGCTTCTATAACTGGGGGGATCTTTCTGGACTGGTTGGAAACGAGCCTGAGATCCTTACCTATCCTACACTATCTTCCATTTTATGCTAGAAACCACTTTTGAACTTGGGCACCTAGAAGGTGGCTCTTAAACACTCAGTCTGGCTGCTGAGCGTTTCCCAGAGGAGCGCCCAGGGGCCTGGCTGGCCTAGATTTGCTACGCTGAAGCTTGGTTAGCCGCTCAGCTGGGGCGCCCAAGCTCGGAGTAGGTGCATCTCCTCCATGGCTCTCGGAGGCTAACGTCCCCGCCGGAGTGTCTGACTTATGAGCAATGTGTTTCTGGAAGAACGAGCACAACCACTCGTGGGGCAGTGGGCCCCACCTGCGGCCTGGAGTTCATCACAAGACAACACACCAGCTGGCTGGGTGTGCACAGCGCTAGGCTCGGCACGCCCTGCGGGGTCCCCAGCAGCCAGGAGGGGAGGGATGGCACAGGGCACCCTGAGTGTCTGGGTGCAAGTCTATACCTTCTCAAGGACGTATCTTATCTGATCCTTTAGTCATAGTTCAGAACTGCTCCTGAACACACACTTTCCAAGTGCAAGGTCATGGGCATCCTCAAGTCCAACACTCAGCAAACGTCTACCGAGTACTTGGTAGGTGACCGAACCTGGGGCTGCAACGAGGGGCCTCCATCCCTTCCCCGGGGCCCAGCGGACGGGCAGCTGCATACAGCGGTGAGGCCCATGCAGGGCTGCAGCCGAGCCTGGGGGAGGCCCCGAGGCCAGGTTGATGGTCAGGCAGACTGCTCGCAGGCCTGTTTCAGCAGAAACCAAGGGCACAGCTCTGTCCCGCTGGGCAGCGGGCGCACGTGGCAAGGCACAGAACCCTCTCCTACAAGCTTCCTGACCAAGGTCCCTTTATGTCACACCTGTGCTGCAACACTGTCCACCTTCTTTTGTTCTTAAAGATTTTATTTTTTTTTAAGATTATATGTATTTATTTGACAGACAGAGATCACAAGCAGGCAGAGAGGCAGAGAGAGAGAGGAGGAAGCAGGCTCCCCGCTGAGCAGAGAACCAGATGCGGGGCTCGATCCCAGGACCCTGAGATCATGATCCAAGCCAGAGGTGGAGGTTTTAACCCACTGAGCCAACCAGGAGCCCCAAGATTTTATTTTTATGCCATCGTTACAAACAATGTGGGGCTCAAACCCACAACCCCCACATCAAGAGTGGCACACTCCTCCACCTGAGCCGGCCAGGCGCCCCCCACCCCGGCCTCAAGACTCACCCCCAGTGCTCATCTTTGTATCAACTAACCACCAGCATTCTCAGTTACACGGTCACAGGCCCGCTGTCAGAGCGATCTGCCGGACGAGGTGCCTCCCACCATGAAAAGAACCTGCTCCAGGCCCAGGGAGGAGCGGGACACGGCCCACGCCCTCCGGCCCTCCCCAGACCGCAAGGCCCCCAGGTCCGGGCCCCGACAGCTTGCTGGAGCCGGAGCCGCGCAGGCGCTCTGGCGGGGTCCCGGCATAGGCAACATTCCGGGCGTGCGTCTGCCAGCACCGCGCAGGCTCTTACTCTCCACCCTTTCTCTAAGTCACGTTCCAACTCAGATCCCGTGTCCTAACCAACCGCAAACCCACGTGAACCCGCTCTTCCCCCGCAGCTGGGACACCTAGGCCTCCTACGCCTCGGGTTAAGATGGGTGGACCCTCCTCTCCTGCTCACCAACCGCCGCCAGCCACCGCTTCTCAGCCCCGGAACCCAGTGGGAACCCTCCTCCCCTCTTCCCAAAGCGGGGGTCGTGGGCCCGGGTCACCCCGGCTCACAAACACACCTGCCGGGCTTGCACCTACCTCGTTCTCCATGGGACACCCGCTGGACAGTCTGGGGAGGGCTCTGGTCCCTCCCCGCTGCCGAAAGTTACTGTGCACTCTCTGATCGCTTCTGATCTTGCTGAAAAATATGGTCGGATGTGAGCCCTCCCTCTGACAAGACGTGAATGCACAGGAAGACCAGAAACCACGGCTTCCTCCAGCAAACCCAGCTGAAGCTGTTTACCGTTTGTTTAAAAAGGGTAAGAGGCGGGCGGTGCCCTCAAACCGCAGGCACAACCCGAACGGCCACGAGCACGAGAGGTCCGAGGAGAGCAGTGCGTGCTGAAGGCGGCCAGGAGCCCGCGCCGCGGTGGGCTCCCTGCGTCTCCGGCCAGCGCCGTGTGGTCCGCTGAAGGACACGGTTCTGGAAGCCCCACCGCTCTGCGCATCCGCTGCCAACAAGAGTGACCGA